ATGGAAGAAAATCTTCAAATCTCACAAAACTCAAAAAAATGTATCAAATCTCTCTCTCACGTGTTCTCTCTGTTATTTTCTCCTCTCTTTGTGTGTCGTCTCTATGTTCGATGAAAAACAGGGTTTCTTTAGGTCTAGGGCGGCTAGGATTTATTAGAGAAACCCTAGGTGGCAAAAATAGGTTTAATAAAAATTTCTAAATTGGATCTTCTGCGGAGCAGGTCTAGCAAATCGGGAGCGGGTGCTCTTTTTCTTTAGAATCTTCAAAAAGATCCAATTTCCCTCCTTTTTCGCCAAGTCCCATTGTGAGTTCCAATTCTCCATTCCAGCCTCCTTTCGACCTAAAATGACTCAAAGTAAAGCGAAAAACTCGATAAAAACCTACAAAACAAAGGTTAGAATGCGCCAAAAACGCATTATATCATAACAAGTATCGGATTAGCAAACGATGAGAATCAACAGATTGCGGCTAAGAAAACCAGGGCCTTTAACCAATAACCTCAACTCTTAAGCATGGGGCACGAATATAGGTCATCCCACTTTCGTGACGCTACTAACCACTATGTGGAGTAGGAACATCTAATGAAATTTCGCTACTAGATATAGATACTCTCCAAGGTTAAAGATCAAGCCCCAATAAGCTCAGTTAGCTCCTCCACACACTTTCATGGTCAAAGGATCACTAAGCCGAACAAAAAGTCGGTCTGGTATTCTGACAAACACCTTTCGGGCAGCGGAATGCCTCAGGACGATATTCAAGGCCGGAGCCAAAAACCAAGCTTTATCCATAACCTAAGCTCGAGAAACATAATACACAGGCCGAGGTTAAGTTAGCCGTTTCTCTAAAGCTTCTACATCTACTAACCCGACGTTCGACGAGTGGACTACTCACTCATGGCTACGGGAAAACCATGATTAAGCTCGAGTAAGCTACGAATGATGCGATGCAAAGATAAGTGCGATAAACAAGTAAAGAATGAAACTTTAACCTAAAAAATGAAACTTTATAACGAAAATAACTTAGAACATCAAAGATCAAATGTTCTAAGGGTCGATTACAACTAAACGTAAATGGAAAGCTT